CTTATTTAACAAATTTAAAAATATTAGCAAAATAAATTATATATAAATCCAATACTTACAACATCATCAGAACCATTGATTTTTGGGACAACTCCAATGATGGTACTGCTGAGGCTGTTGCGCCCTAGCAGACGACTCTTAACCATATTCATACTGAAATTGATATTCAAACAAATTTTATAAATTTATGTATACCTTTAGGCTTTAAATTTAATATAAACCTATGCCTATTAGATGCTCTACACTACTCTAAAGATTTATTAGAATTTTTATGGATGTGAATAACCTACTTTAAAACTATGTGTATCAATCTTTGTAGAATCATGTATAATTAAGTAGTTATTCAATTTAATCAACCATATGTTGATCACCTGTAATTCTGTCAAATGTATCATTTCATAGGTGTTTTGATTTGTTACAAGTTCTGTTAAATAAGGGCTTACAGTTATAAATAAATGAGCTGACCCAAAAACCTTTTTAGCCCATGTCATGTAGCCCCACTCAGGGTTTCTTTCAGGCATATCTCCAGGGGGGGGGGGGAGGGGGTCAAGTGCTCCCCCGGAGAAAAAAAAAATGTTGAGTTAATTTCAAATGGAAACCTTAAAAACAATATTTTAAGTTAAGAATTTAACAGGTGCATAAAAAAGTGCAAATTTCATCAATTATTATATCGAAAGCGTTTGTGTTTTCTTTTAATGTGCTACTTTTGTAACAATGTTTCCTGCATAACACTACAGAGGTTTAAAAAATATGTAGCCTATATTTATTATGCCCCACCTATTTGCACACATTTTTAAAAAAATTAATATTTTTTCAAGATGGAAATCTATCAGAAAAACTTTAAAAAAAAAAAAAAAAAATTTAAGATTTTTGTGAACTAGCATTTCGATTGTCAATTCTATCCAAACAAATTTTTAGTACTAGTTTTAAAAAAAATTCCTATTTCTCATTTGTTCAATTAAAAATAAATTATGTGCATTTGGTCCAAAAAAAAAGTGTTTTAAGTATATCTTAGAGGCAATTTGTAATTTATCTAAAAAGTTATAGCTAAAGTATTTTGAAATTACAAATAAACATTTCAACTAACTGAATATTGGGAAATATATACTTTATTTGCATATGATATCCCTTAGATAAAATTACACATTAATAAATATATAATGTCTTTTGTAAACAAATCAGGTCTTCTTAAAACAGTTATGCCATTCATTTTCGATTTATAAAAAAGATCAGTTTTCAAAACCATACAAATTTGTAGACCTTTCTAATTAACAGTTGTTTTTTTTCTTTTTGACTCTGGTAAAATTTAGAAATATTTAGAAAACGTAGTCTAATTATTGTAAGTAAGTTGTTTTTTGTCCATTTGTGTTCAGTATATAAAATAATGTTTGCAGTGCTTTTTAGTGATGAAACCCTTTTAATAAAAAATAAAAGCCACATTTTTAATAATATACAATTCTTTTGCATTAAAAAAACACAAGCAGGTCAAGCACTTTTCCGTTTACCCCTCCCCCTTTTTCCCCTCTCTATTGAAAATGATAATTAAGAAAATATCATCATCACATCCGAGGCACCCAGCATCACAGGGGTTATTGGTGCACACGATGGTTCTAAGTTTGAGTGACACCTACGTTCTTAAACTAGGATCTCTTCCGTTGCTCTCCAATTAGGTGTAGACTACTAGAATGTTGCAAAAATAAACTCATATATGTGATAAGCTGCATTCTTTTATTTTTAATTTATCAAAAATTTTCTGTGGACTATAAAGATTAAATAGGCGATATTAAGCTAGGGCAAAAGTATACCCCCAAGGGTGACATAACTAGATTGAATATAGTTTACATCCCACTGGTGTGGAATTTAAGATGTCTTTGATAATAATTATGACTAATTTTGGCACTCCCCACCCGAAAGTTTGAAATGCCACCTCAAAATTGTCTGAAAGAAACAACAAATTTTATTATGCGCCAAAATGCACCCCTGCATTTTGAGTTTTACCGACGGTCTTAAGCACCCTAAATTTCTCCACCTCCTTCACTCATGCTGATCATTGGTACAGTATGAGGTTGATTATAAGCTTGTACCAAATGATTACTATGGGGCATGCCACAAACTGAGTGAATTCAGTTTATGTATCGCATTAGGCGTCATAATGCTTCCCACAAAACCTTAAAAATGTCCTTCCCAGTTCAAAGAGTATAATAGAAACATTGAATTCAAATAAGTATACTCAAAAGTACACCTCTTGATTTTGAAATAATAAAAAAATGTTCTGGGGAGCCAACTCCCCAGATTCCAGCCATCAAGATTCATCGGCGTCCTCAATTTCCGCACTACTTCCCAATGAAAATGATCGTCAATTTCGGTATCAATAGATATGCTGCCTTGTGGCGCAAATACTATTAGTGCCACTATGGGCGGGTAAATATTTTTGCCTTCCTCCCTTTCACGATACAAACTCTGCAGTTTTCCGAAAATGCCACTCCTGCATATAAAGAAAGTGACACCTCGGTGGACCACCCCATCCACCCTATCTTGACACCACGTATCTACAGTGTTTGGCGACAGGGAGCAACATTCATTTTTAGCATCCCACCCCCCCTCCCAACTCTGAAACTGATTATATTCAACCATTAAATACCATCAATTCAAAGCCCATTCAAAGCTAGTTTGGCGCCCTGGCACATATGCCTCATCTGCCACCTCTTAGCTACGCCTCTGGCGACTGGAAAATGACACAGCGCTTCTGAAAATTTGATTCAATCAATATTTATTCTCCAATTTAAATCCATAAAATGATGTCATGATAGGAGGCCTAGGCCTAAGTGAAAATGAAATGCGCCCTAAGCAAAAAATGGACCAAGACAAACTGTTTTAATTACTACTGGCAGTAGTGCTGGACTAAATGAAATCTTTTTTTATTTAAAATTTAAAGAACTAGACTAGTTGAAGTAGGCTTAATAGGAGGCTACTATTAATAATAGATTCAAAAGTTAGCCCTTGTTGTAGTGGGATATCAGTTTTTACTTTGTACACTAATGACTAATGTTAATACTAATACTGTAAATGTAAATCAGGCCTGCACAACATATGGCACGTGGGCTGCATGTGACCCGCCAGCAATAACTTTGCGCCCCGCGAAGTAATGAAATATTCTTTATTATTATTTCCTTAATATCTTTTCCCCTGTCCTATTTTCTTTCAACCAGCACAAGTCAAAGTTTTTTCATACATAAAGTATGATAAATAAAGTTTAAAATTTAAAGTATTACAAGGCCCGCCTTAATTTTGAGTTGTGCAGGCCTGCTCTAAATTCTAAATAATAAACAGCAGAGACAGCCACATCAGGTTGCTACACTAGTGTCAGTGTAAATTGTCTAAATTGTGCCGTGTGTGCTACTTGCTAACTAGGCACTCATCATGGCCACTCAGAACTATACACCGTCTATACAGTCAGTAGTAGGCCTATACAACTGACAACTTCTCAGGCTACTACTTGCAAGTCTGTTCACTATAAATTCTTGATATGTACTTTTTAAGGCTTCGGACTGGAATTCGCATTGAAGATCCAGGCAGAAGAACATTATCGGTTATTAAGAGTAACGGAATACGACGAGGGATTGTAATAGAAGAAGCCATGTTGACAATGTTGATGTTTAGTTCCTTCAACGTAAATAAACTTAGAGAGTTTTCGGTACACTTTGACCCCGAGGGGTTACTCTTATCACCGAGATCTAAAATTGGACCGAGAGACATTCGCATTCTTCTTAAGTCTTAAAGTATGGTCTTTTGATAGCTTTAAGTTTAAGTACTTTATAATTTTGAGCATCGTTCTTGATTCAGATGATTGACTACGTTGTCTTTATTATATATTGCTTTACTCTTTAAAATAACTTAACATAGATTTAACTTATTATATAACTAAGCTTATTTTCCAAACCGTCCCCGTCTTTTACAACCATTTAGATTTGGCTAATACTAATAGAATAGAATTACAATTTTTTTTAAACGAATAAATATCAACTTGATGCGACATGGCATTTGTTACATAATACATGTATGATCTATTTTTTTCATCATAATTCATATGAAAGTTGTTTAATTTTATTTGTTTTTTTTTTCTCTTTTAAAGTTCTCAACAACGCAGTCTAATAATCAATCATTATGAATCATGATAAGTCATACTAATACTATACTTACATTTCATTGTCATATCTCATAAACGTAAAAACTAGATTTTGTGATTGTTGTGAAGATGACACTAGTAACACAGACAGGAAAAGAATTCATACAGATTTATTGAATATTTGAAACTGATTGTGTTAAAAATTAATTTTCAACATTGGATATTCATTCTCAAGTTGATTTATATTATAATATCAATTATAATCAGGAATTTAAAGCGTTACTTTCCCATTTTATTTGTTAAAACGTAAAAGTTGTGTTAATATGTTAATGTTGGAGTTCTTAACATTTTGCAGCGCCAAACCCCCTTACAATAAGGCTAATAATATCTAACATTGTCCCAGACCCACATCTCGATTTCAAAACATATTTTCGGCAACGCCTTACCACTCCCACCACACAAAATAAATAAGTAAATAATTATAATAAAAAAAAAAAAAAGAATTTGCTGGGTCTTCCCAGACCCCTGACACTGCCTCCTGCAGCCCCGGGGATGCAGGCACACCTGGCACCTGGTTAAGAACCCATGTTTTAACATGCTGAAACTAATATGAATTTTTAGCTCACTATTACTAGTATTATCAAATGGGATTTCTATTTTAAAATAAATATTGTCAATGTAGAAATAATAATTGCAAATCCTGTCTTCAATATTTTGTCAAATTTTACCCCCATTTTGAACTGCTTATTTCATAATGATTGGTCTGATCAAATTCTTTTTCAGACAAGAAAAATAGCCAATGGAATGTAAGGGGGTTACAAAGCTTTTAACCTCGGTCGTGCATTTAATCCATAATTCACATTCATTTAAGTAAGTGGACGGAGTCACTACTACAGAAAAAAATGGCAGCTTGCATGACATTCAAAAGTAAAATTTTCAATGGCTCTCTTGCAAAAGCTAGTAAAACATTTTTAGTTCAACCTGTAAGAAATCGATGGAAACCCCCAGATCGGGATTTGGAAATTTTACCAAGTTTTGCTGAACGCTTAGCAGGTGGGGCTAAATCAACTTATTTCATTAGTATTCACACTCTACTCTCTACACTTCCCTAGGCCCTAGGCCCTAGGTAAATGAAAGGACGAATGCCACTATTGACTATTGGCTGTTTCAGATTTAGCGGCCAACATTGTAGGCACTTAAATACAAAATTTAAAAAAATTTAAATACATTTTGTAATAACACAGTTAGTTAGAGCAAATTTCAAATAAAAAAATGAAACCAGAATCAACTTTTTAGCTTAAGTACTTTTTGAGCTATGAATTTTTAAAGTGTGAGTTCGTTTGGTATTTTTTACTATGGACGAAACCTCCACATCTTGTGACCTCATTCCGCTGATCGCGTCATGAATAAGGCAACGCATCGCCTTATCACTAAAATACTGTTTAGGGTCGACTTAGTTTAAACTTTCAACTTTGGCACATGAATAATTAATTAAAGCTTTCCCTGACCAATGGTATAGTAGTTTTTGCACACGGCAAACTCTTATGAATGAAACTCTGAGGTAGTACTACGATACAGCCATTATGCAAGTGGCTGTGAATGGTTGCCAATGACAACGTGTTGCACACGGTAAATTCTGATCATTTATAATATGGATTCTACCGGGTTGTTAAAGCTCAAATTAAAACATTCCAGTTTAAATGTCTTCAAAATGCATTCTGAAACACAAGTTATCAATTATTTTGATGTAAATAGTGATAATAAATTAATATTTCCTAAGTATCTGCAACTTCCGCCATTAAAAAGGGGGCGTGGCCTACCCCAAGGCGAAATTAGGTTGAGCGAGCTGCATGACCTGCTGCGAACGCGTAGAAACATGGCGTCTCTCGTAAGACACTTATCGCTGTGAAAATTGGCATACATGTAGATCAATAGATTCCCCAGATGCAAACAAAATTTGGAAGTGACAAATTTTTTCCTTCGACTTAATTTTAATGATGAAAGTTGCCTTATATTTACCAAGAAATTTCTCAAAGCTGACTGATTGTAAATGAAAAAGAAATTGATTAAAATGCAGGCCAAGATGTCTACCTAATTATAAGGCCGAAAACGGAACTCAAATATATATCGAAAGTACTAATTTAATAATAAATAGACACATACATCGGAAAATTAAAAACTCGTTTTTTTCGGCGCCGATTGCGAATTCCCATACACAAAAAGTAGTAGTCTCCCTTGACTTACCGAAGTATCTACACATTGACTTTGTTAAGGTTAGGCATAGGGATCGATTTAGGGGTCGGGTTAGGCTTAGGGGTGGATTTAGGGATGGGATTAGGCATAGGGATAGATTTAGGGTTCAGGTTAGGCATAGGGATCGATTTAAGACGCAAAAGTGCGCGCATGGAAATAAACGCGGTCCGCTTTCTCTGAATTTACCCCGCTATTTTATCGATGGCCGCGACTAATGCCCTAAATCGATCCCTATGCCTAACCTGAACCCTAAATCGATCCCTATGCGTAGGTACTTGGGTAAAATTTTCAAAATGAAGTTATAGCTTTAAGAGCTAGTTGGTTAGATAGGGCCTGAAAAATGCAATTCATTGATACCAAATTTATGTTTGTAGGTCAATTCTAAAGAAAGTTATGATTTTTTGTGTGACTTATTTTGGGATAACTCTGTTAATTGAGACATATAGGAAAATATAAAAGTGACTAAAATAAAAATTGGGCAGAGATTTGTGAGAGATGTTAAAAAAGAGCAGTAAATTGAAGTTATTTAATGACTTAATGAAGATAATCATAACAAACCATATATATCCGTGATCGTCATAACATTATCCAAACAGACGTCATACAATAAATTCTATGGTACGCAAGATGTGCTCATTAATATTCAAAATGGCCGTAAAATTTCCATATGTCATATTTGAATATGAACACAACATGAACAATATTCTTCAAAATAAAGGGTTATGTATATCAAATTGTTCGTATTGAAAAGGGGAAACATAATAAGTAGCATATGGAAGGGTGAACCAATGTGTCCATTAAAAAATTTAATTTTTTCTATAGCGCTGATAGCAAATCAATTTTCGGATATTAAATGTACAATATGTAGATTATAGTAGGAGTTTTTCTTGCATAGGGGCTATCTTTCAATTCTATATTCTTTTTGCTAAGTGTAGCATTAGTTTTTCATAGAATCCCTACAATTAAAAAAGAATTGTGCTGCTTCAACTAAGGCCTACAAATTGCAAATATGATTAACATTATGATGTCATTTGATAGGCCTTTAAAAAGATAAAACAAAGTATTTTTGTGTGTGTGAAGCATTTCAAAAAATCAATTCATCTAAATACTAAAGAAATCTTAATTTTAAATCTATTATGAAGATAAAATATACTTTTCTTAATATGTCCATGCTACAAATGTGTCAGGTAGCTAAGGCCAAACTCCCAAATAGGCCTATTATGTGGGAGTGGAAGTTTCACTATTTAAATAAAGAAATACAATTAAATATCTATTCATATGTATTCTTTGATAATAATATTAATCTCAAATAACTTAAAATAGTGCTTTTAACATTGTTTATTAAACAGATTGCTTAAGATTTAAAAATGATTTGCTGAGGTGGATTTGGCCATCTTGAAAATGATATCCAGGGAAGAAACACACATGTGGAAAATTTAATAAAATTGTTGGGGTAGGTTGGGGGGACTTTTAATTTGCCCATTGATGTAGATAAGTGGATGCTCTAAACAGTGGTTATCATGAAAATCGCGTCTGGTGGAGTCTCTACGAGAAATTAAGCAGTAGACTTAGCTTAATTCAACTTGATATATATTTTTTTTTTCCAATGTGATTAAAAATCTGAAGACACAGTATTATTCAGCTTCCAATTCTCTTTAAAATGATATATCACACTACCTATTTAATAAAGAAACAACCACAAAACACATTTTTTCCCAATGCATATGCAATGTTTACATTTTGAAGTGGACAAAAAGTTGAACAAGGGGCACGTAACTCTGTAATTATTTGACACTAGCAGAAAACTGGTTTACCCAAGTACCTACTATGCCTAACCTGAACCCTAAATCGATCCCTATGCATAACCTGAACCCTAAATCGATCCCTATGCCTAACCTAAACTCTAATTAGTAATTCACTGCAACTATAATAAACAAGCAAATGAGGCTGTGGCATTCGTGCTTTACATTAGCCCTTCACTACACTAGGGCGTCTAGGGTGCAGGCACTAGGGCACTTGTCACTTGGGCCTGGGCGACCATATCATGAACTGGAAAAAACGGGACACACCTAAGGAGGGGTGGGGGATACCCTCCAGCTAAAGAGGGGTCGGTGTGGGGGGGGGGCTCCGCCGGAAAATGTTTACTGAAATATGCTCATTTGAACTATTTTACGACCTAGAGCTTAGAAATCTTTTTAAATTTACCTTCACTTTTGTAATTTAATTTAAAGGTAATCTACCACTTGAGCGTCGGCCAAGAAAAAATTCAGCTGTTCCGGTTGAAAGGGCTTCTTATTGTTCACTCAGTTCACTGTTATTTACTGTTAATTATAGTAAATAATAATTAAAGCCAAATAATAAATGTTAGACAGTCAGACCTATTTAAAATTCCTTTGGAGAACTCTTCTGTGTTTGCATGTTACGCACTGACTTGTATTGGGAGAAATTAATCTCCTATTTTAATTGGCTCGTTGTAAACAGTGCCTAACAAAGGACGATACCATAGAATCAACAATATTAAAGATACGACCCAAAACAGTTTCTCGTTACAATTAATAAGATTTATTATTTCTTAAGATAATTAGAAAAGAAAATATAATTACAATCTTCAACTTACAGTATGGTAGATCTTGTACCGGTACACAGTTAACACAGAATAATGTGCCAATAAATAATGCGAAATAAACACATATGATCACACAAATACACAAAGAATAAAACACGCCTCGTAAAGTTAATAAAAATCTATCTGAATCTCCGTTCCTTCGTATCTGTCAATCCTTTATATACATGTAGCGTAAGACGCTTCCAGAAGGACCTATGCCGTGTTGTTTACATATCTCGGGTTAAGGAGTACATTCGAGAAGTTACCAGGAGACATTCTACCCAATGCATATTTGGAAGCCGATTGTAAACAAGCTACATCAAAGAGATTTAGCCACGCCCACAACAGACGTTACTGTCTGCTAGGAGTGTACTGCGAGGTCGAGGAAAGTTCACGCACAGGAAATTGTGCTACATAACATTGCATAAACGGAAAACATCTTCTCCCTGACTATTTAAATGATATGGCACAGACTTAATCTAAATGCTTACCTAGTGCCTAGTGTACCAGATAATCATAACTAAGTTCCAGTAATCTGTGAGCCATCGGCCCACACTTACAGGGAACTCTTCCATCATTATCATGCAGGGTGTATTTTTTGGTGGTCTTCTTGAAAATGTCAGCGGCTCAATGAAATTTTATGTCAAACGACGAACGCAAGCCACCGGTGTATTATTATTATTTTTTTAAGCATCAAAAAAACACTTTAAATCTTAGTTTCATTTGTAAATTCAAGATAACAGTTAACACTGTTAAGTGTTGTCAGGTGCTTAACTAAGTAAAATGTTATGATGTTAAAAGGTCTTTTCTCAAATTCTCTCTTTGCTTTGTGTGAAATAAAACATTTGATGCCCATCCTCAAATCTTATTCGGGGAAACATTCAAAATAGTATTTATTATTCTTTCAAAAATATATTTAAATTTGAAACAGATTTCCTTTATAATTTATCAGCGCCCCCTAAAATGTCCAAGGCCTTCCACCACCCAATTTGAGAACCATTGATTTAATGCAACAACGGAGAAAATTACATTTTCAAAATTTTTGTGTTTTATTTTTCAGCATGGAAGGCCAAATATCAATTGCCTGCCAGTCATGGTATTAATATTGGATTGAAATATGACGGTGTAAATCAAAACCACAACAACATTGAAAGGATTAAGAAATGGATGGAGAAACGGAAACCACTCGAGACTTTGGCTCATAACAGACAGTGTGAGTATGAGCTATGCCCTCTTGCATGCCTTTGCAACAACTCTTGACATTGTAAAAATTATTTTAAAATGTAAAAACACTTCCATTTATTTATCCCTTACCTTGAGGTTATGATATAAATTATTCTGTAAATATGCTTGGCCAAAATTTAACAGATATTATTTTTATCAGAGGTGAAACTGACATGGAGGAGGTGAGTTCATGTCCTAACTTTTAAAAAGATTTGCTCTTGGCAGCTAGGGAGCGGGGTGGGATCATAAATTTGTGACTAAATGTTATGAGGGTGAATAAATTGTATGATGATGTTGGGGGGCGGGGGGTGAAGGGGATGTAAAAAAAAAAATTAGCCAAAATAACCTCACATCATTTATGGAAGGCCCAAATAAAGTCTCATATTATAAACTTATAAAACACATACATTATTTGGATAGTTTCAAATTTCTTTTTAAGGGTCAACTTGAATTTTAATGTTTCTTTATTCCCAGTCTCCATACAGCAGTGAGAAACAGTAGTATGTTAAAGTATGTTAAAATGGCTTTCCAGCTCCAGATATCTGAGTGCTGTGAAGCACTGTTCTGTAGTGGACTTAAAAAAATAATTTCTTCTCTGGCTTTGAGAGAAATTGTTAAAAAGTTTTTCCCAATAATTCCATTCTGGAAAATATCAAAGTTAAGTTTCCTCTGCATAAATGGAATAGAAATCTATAGATAGGGCCAAATATAATATATATATATATATATATATATATATCAATATCAGGATTGCAAAAGCAGCAGCAACTATGGCTAAACTGAAAAAGCGGGTATGGAATAATCTCAATCTAACTGATAAAACAAAAATAAGTGTTAATCAGGCATTCGTGCTTAGCTCGCTCCTATATGGTAGCGAAGTGTGGACCTCATATACCAGTCAGGAGCGGATCTCAACAGCTTCCATCAAAGATGTCTGCGTCGCATTTTGCGCATTCATTGGCAGGACAGGGTGCCTAACGTGGAGGTCTTGGAAAGTGCACACATGTTTAGCATATTCTCCTTTCTTATCAAGAGACGCCTTCGCTGGTTAGGTCATGCACGGAGAATGGAGGAAAGATGTATCCCAAAGATACTGCTGTATGGAGAGTTGGAAGAGGGGACAAGACATATTGGTCGACCACGCCTGAGATTTATTGGTGTTTGCAAACGAAGCATGACGGAAGCCAATATTGAAACAAACGAATGGGAGTTCATTGCCGAACATCGCTCCAACTTGCGTACATCAGTGTTTGGAGGAGTGAAAAAGGCAGAAGTTACTCGAAATGAGGCCCTCGAATCAAAAAGAACAATTCTAAAATCAAGAATATACCGGGCTACAACATACTCCTGCGAGAGATGCGGCCGTGATTGCCATTCAAGGATTGGCCTAGTAAGCCACTCGTCAAAGTGTAGAACTATATAGCTACTCCATCGTCTCACGTAGACGGAAGGATGCCATAATATATATATATATATATATATATATATATATATATATATATATATATATATATATCTACTCCAGCGTCTCACATAGACAGAAGGACAATATAATATATATATATATATATATATATATATATATATATATATATATATATGTATATAAGTAATTCTGCCCATTTTATGCACCTGGTTAATATTTTGTAATGTTGAATAAGAGTCATATTTGTTTTCATTTATATAGTAAATGTTGACATGGAGCGTGTGAAAGAAGACTGGCATAATGAATCTATGCCTCAGCATGTTAGAAAAATATCGGAGCACTATGGGATATTCAAGGACCTCTTTGATGGGGCTCATTTCTTTCCTGTCATCCCCTTGGATGTGGCTTATGATTATGATGAGGAGTTGGTCACACCTGTAAGATACGGAAACATAATTCCTGCTTGTGAGGTAGGCATGTACTCTTAAGAAGGGCTCATGGTCACTTTATAGTTGAGAAGTGTGGTGGGAATATATGAACAATAAAAAAATTTGATACACCACAATATCTTTAGAATGCCCCTTTAGATTACCTCACTCACAATCAGAATCCAATTCTGAGGTAGTATAGTCTCTGGCCTATAATTGGAATAAATGGTATTATCAGACTAAAGTTAAACATTAATTTAAAAATTAAAATAAAAAATAAAAGATTTCCAGAATTGGTTGTTGTAATTAAATAGATCATAATCAGTTCCATGTAATTAGTATTTCTGTAATTGCTATCATTTCAATATAGAAGATAAATTACTTACGAGTCTCACCACTGCATCCATTTAAACCACATGAGTTGTGCTAATGATGTAAACAGAGCAAATATTTGTACTACATACATTATACCTCTGCATCCATCATATTTTTCTGAAACATGCAACATGTTCTTTTGAGACATCCAACATATCCAAGATATAGCGAACCAAGACATTTCCAAGCTGTAAGTCCTCATGGTTTTAAATAGGGTTTAAAATGCTTTTTGAATTTGTTTAAATATATACAGTTAGATCCTTGCACGAAAAAAAAAAGATCCATGCACCTTTGTTTTGTATTGATACTATTACTAACAACCCTCTACTTGAAATAATTTATAGCATGTCTATCCTAACAGACATCAGCAAAGCCATCAGTATCATTCAAAGTTGCTGATGACAGTTTGTGGACTCTTGTCATGTCAAGTCCTGATGGAAACTTAGAAGATAGCAGTAAAGAAATTCTGCATTGGTTTGTGTAAGTTGTCTTTTATAAATTGTTAATCAATCAGGGATTAGAAATGTGTTTTTTGTTAACTGGAGAAAAGTTCAATCAATCATTATAATTTAAAAAAAAAATATATATTTTTTTTAGAATTTAATTAGCGATTAATCTTTTTTAATTTCACAGATTTTCTACTTATAATAATGTACGCACTGTAAATTGATTGTGTGTATATTTCCTTTCAGGGGTAATATTCCAGGCAATGATTTAAACAAAGGGGAGCTGATATGCAACTATTTACAACCATTTCCTCCCAAAGGAGTAGGCTTCCTCAGATATGTTTTTGTTTTGTACAAGCAAGATCGTATAGTTGACTTCAGTAGCATCAAGAAGCCTGAAAACTGGTAACCATAATTTTATCTAAATACCAGACATGTTTACTCTTACAATTTTGGCATACAGTGTACATTTTCGAGGTGTATTTTACGATTTTATGCGAAGACTTGTCACATCTATGGTTTTAAGAGACCGGGTTGAAAATATATACATTCCTGTAGTTTTTCTGATTAAAAAATAATCATTAAAGTAACTTTTTCGGTTGTTAGTTTTAAATTGCTCTCTACATCCAGCATTAAATAGATAGAAAAATATGATTGGTTGGGGACCAGATATTTATTTTGCCCTGAGATGGGAATGTGGTGGTGTTGATTTGGGAGACTTTGTGTACGGGTGTGCAGGTCTAATTATTTAAGTCTATAAAATGAAAACCACCACATTTTCGTAATGATAGTGGTGATGGTAATATTGTTGCTTTGTGTGTTTTCATAATTAACTCGCTAGACACTGCAACTGTAATATTAGCATAGTTGCTTAGTGACAATTTTAGTCAATCCTCGCCTTTGTTTTCTTCGCTGCTGTATGACGTAAATTTGTGACATATTTATTTCATTCGGCAAACACTGGCAAGTACGATTTTTAATGCCCCCGTTTGTTTCCATCACTAATCCTCTTTTCACCCCTTACATTTTTTACATTTTGTGGTAGTTACCAGACTATAATATAAAAAAAACATTTTTAAACAGCTTTTCCTTAAATATAAATCTCAAGTTACTTGGTAGGTTCTTTAAATAATGTCATCATTTGTTAATTAATTCGTATTTAAATACATCTTGTTTTATGCTGATCTGACTTCGAGTTTGAACCACGTTAAATTTCACCAGTATCTTTATTTTGACCAGTGACAGACCGTGATCATGTGATCTGTACATCCACTCAATATAAATTAATATCTATAACAAGTACATGTCTGCAAAACAAAGTGGACACAGATTTCAATATAAACGTCGTTCATTTAATTTTGAAAGTTAATTTTTTTTTTTACGCCAGCTTAACTCGATCCCACTAGACACTGCAATGCAAGTAGTTATTGTATTCATTATATATACTTGTTCATACAGTATATATAATGAATACATGTTTAGATGCCGTATTGTACGATTTCAGTTCAAGGGAACACAGTTCTGAAATACTGATACAAATTTTGATTGACTTTGATAATCATTTGGTCTGTGCTAATGAGAAATATAGTTTATTGGTAGAGTAATATGTTTACTACAATATTTTTAAAGGGTTTGGTAAAGAGTGTGAATATTCCTCACTTCACCAATTTATTATGTGATTAAGTTTGTAATATGAAGACAGTTCTCATTCTGATAAACTACGTTCTGCAACCAAGTACTGGAATATGTGCAACGGTTTGGGAAACGATGCGGCTATCCTAACCGCTCCTAGCAGGTGCCAGGGTGCCTTGAAACTCTTGATTGATTTCGAGTCCACAGTTCCTTGAAACATCTGAAGATTTGATGTGTTATTAACATGTCAATTTTAATATTCTGTTTTTTTGTACTAAAGTAAATTTAAAAAAAACTTAAGTCTTAGACAAAATGAAATTATACAGTTGCTACATTTATTGTGCAGATTTGTTTTGTGTTTGTATATAGAATACAGGGATTTTACTACACACTGATCTGACAGAACGTATTTAAGATTTGTGATTGAGAATATAGTTGAATACCAAATTTTTATTGTCCTTCGATTTCTTTTCCCAGCCTGTCACTCCGTGACAGATCATTTAGTAGCTTAGATTTCTACCGCAAACACCAGGCAGATCTGACACCTGCAGGTGTCTCATTCTTTCAGAGTGAATGGGACAAGTCAATCACATCGTTTTTTCATCATGTTCTTGGTAAGCTATGTTGTGGGCTTTTGACTTATCCTATGAGCATTAGCTCTGCACCTCACTTGTAGACCTTTAAAATATTTGTATTTTTTAATGGAATTTTTAGGAGTTTAGATGACAATCAGCCTTTTTTTTTTTCGGTTCTTTCTTTTATATACATAATTTGTTTATAATTGAGAAGTAAATTAATTTCAACCAAGAAAAATTGTTTTTAAGAAGTAAATGAAATTAATAAGACAGGTTACATTTTGTTAAACATTTTTTTTCTAACGTTTGGTTACAATGAATGATCACTCAACATATGTTAATATAAATTAAGTCATCTCTTTTTTGCTCCAACTTGCAGAAATTACAGGCATAAGATCATATTTTTTAATGTATAAAATAATGAGCAAAGTATTTTGGGATTATTGTTGTTGTTTTTGTTTTTATTTTTTTTTTATTTTCTTGATTTGCTTTTTAGACACATAATTTTAGCAACGTAAAAAATTGTTGGCTTTCAGATATGAAGGAGCCAGCATTTGAATTCATCCATCCACCTGCATACCACCCAGAACAGCTTGATTACCCACATAGGCTACCATTCAATGTGTAAGTAGGGTTTAGTTTTTCGTTTTTGTTATAAGTGGGGGGGGGGGGGTGGTGCGGGTGGTTTATATTGATTGTATCTGGTTATTTTATGATCAAAATGGTGGCAACTGACTGTCAAGGTGGGTTTATTTATAACAAGTACTGATCTTGCTGAAGAACATTGGAAAATATTCCTCAGTTTTACAACATTAACATTAATGAAGGACTGTTTTCAAGCTGTCTAAAAGAAATATTGGAACAAGGTATGTGGAAGCTAGAAAATAAAAGACAGGACAATAAGAGATTTCCTTTTTATTTCTTGTTTTGTCTTCACTGCTGAAGAAGGCTTTCAACCAAAATGTTTTCCTTTTATTGTCTTGTCTTTTCATTTCAAGCTTCAGCATACCTTGTTACACTATTTCTTTTACAATGTTTAGTTTGAACAGTTCTTAGTTCTCCAATGTAGTTTAGCTTTTGTTTGAATATAGTTGTACCGGGTAGCAAAGTAGGAATAATGTTATGTTTCAACAAAATGGTCTTTAGCACATCTAAATTATAAATTTTGGTAAAAGCAGTGAAATGCAATCAAATCCAGAATTGACACGTGACCATTTTCTTCTGGTTACCAGAAATTTGTTTTGAAAGAAATTTCGTCGACGGAAGCTTGATCAAACAGAAATTTGGTCGAATCTTTTTTTCAGTTCACACATTAAAATTTTGCAACAAATTTCTTTTTGAATGCACTATACTATATAGTAAAACAAAATAACAGACCTGTTTACTCTTATGATTTTGGCGTACAATGTACGATTTAGAGGTGTATAATTATATACTGTATGTTTATTTTTTTTACTATTAGGATAATGTATTGAAAGATTTTGTGATGATATTGTACGATTTTAAGAGTTTGAAGGTAAACAGCTGAAATATTGTGTTCAAAAAGAAATTTGACGCAAAATTTTAAAGTGTGAACTGAATAAAATATTTGACAAAATTTCCGTTCGATCAAATTTTCGCTTGTAAATTTTCCATCGACAAAATTTCTTTCAAAAACATTTACGGATACATTTTCTACTGAGTGTGTGTGTGGGTTAGTATAGTAGTCCTCAAACTTTCTAATGTTGGGAGCCAAACTATACTTTTAAGAGAAAAAAATGAACGAGCGGCTATATAACACGGCACAAATCTAATTGTAATAAAAAAAAAAAGTAATAAAAAAAATTACAATACTTTTGATAATTAATAATTTTAATCAACATAAAGTTATTTGTATTTCAATGTTAAGTATGGCTCTCCTCTTGGTCAATATCTGGCTCCAGATGTGTCACTGCTACTGTGCGGCAGTGATCACTGTGACTTGATATGGCCTGCGAGACATAATTTGAGGATTTGAGGACCCATGCTGTAAGCCTTTTTAGGATTTCTAATGCCATAATACTTGAGCGTTGTATGTGGATTGTTGCATTCTGGGTACATTTAAAATTAAATTGAGAATTAAATAAAAACCAATTAAAAGATAGAAATATTTTATAAAATTTTGAACCTACATATGATTCCAGAAATGTATAAGAAAAATCAGTTAATAAAGTTACAAATTATTAGATGCTATAAAAACTCATATTCTTATAGTTATATATAAGCTAATGCAAACAAAGCATTTTAATTAATATTTACTTAGTTTGGTTTTTGTCTTTCAAACTGCAAGTTGTTTGTTTCTGCTTTAATGTTTCTGCTTTTGATTTGTTTACAACAGCTATAACTATAATAATGACATATAAACTGTGAAATCACAAGAACAAATGTATAACTTTAAATGGATTAGAATTGGCCTATTTGGTAAACGCATCAATCAAAAACTCATGTTTTAACAGTGATTTAACATCTATTGTGTTTTATTTTATTTCCACAGCTATCTTGATAACTACAGGCATGTGAAAGACATCCAAGAGGAGGTCCTAAAACGCAAACTGAAAAAAGTTGACCCGATGCGACCCCCGCAACCACGTCCCAAGTATCCGAATTTAGATAAACCACCCGAGTACCTGCCGTCTTGGCTTGAAGTGAGAGAGCAGGAAGTAAGACTAGGCAACGCCCAGTGGTCAGATCTTTACAAGGACAAGGATTAACAGAGCCTGGCAAAGGGATTTCCTAAAAACTTTATATGAATGAAATGAGATATTTAACAAAGTTACTTAGAGCACTTTCAACACTGTCCAAAGCTGATGTGAAATTTTTACGTCACCGTCAGTCATGCTGATGTGAACTGCAAAGAGAAAAGAAAATTGTGAACGTTATTAAGAATCAAACATCTTAGTTAATTTTTTTAAAATATTTGGTTCTTCATCCTTGTTGGATCTCAAGGTCTTAATAAACACAATTTATATCTTTGCAACCTTGAACAAACTTTCTTTATGATCTTTAATGCATGAATGAATGTAAATGTGCACATTCATCAATATGAATGTAAATGTGCACATTCATCAATATGAATGTAAATGTGCACATTCATCAATATGAATGTAAATGTGCACATTCATCAATATGAATGTAAATGTGCACATTCATCAATGGAGAAGGTTAAAAAAGCCCAGGCTAGTGTGCTTTCAATTCTGAATGTGTGAGGAACGTGTTACACTCCATTCACAAATCAGGTTCAAACAATTTTTAACCGACACATCCTGATTTCTTGTACCTACCGCAGTGGGCTGTGTAAGGCTTCAGTCATGGACATGTTGAAACATCCGGTTAGATGAATTGTTTACCATCCACCAATGCAATAAAAGTGAGGTGCAGCTAGGAAGAAGCGTCATGTGCACCTGCCATATGCACGGCCCAATTTGAAAGTTTAGCCGCAGGACTGTATTATGATATCATGAGCCCTCCTTCTGTAGTGATTTACGGTAACTCTTTTAAACACTTTACTCTTCACAGGTTTTAATTGTTGAGTGAAGTAATCAAATCAGTTTTAGTTCGGGAGTGAACACGTTGGGTTTTTTTTTTTTTTTTTTTTTAAAAGAGTATTTCCAACTTTAAATTATTTGTTTTGCGGGTACATGAGGATGACCTTGTTAACAAAATGCGTTAAGGAAGTTAGTTTAAAAGAGAATCATAATGTTTGAGTGGTAGTGCTTTAGTGGGTCAAGTTAGATGCATCCCTGTTGGAGAATGGGGAGCTGTCAGGGAAGCATGAATGCTAGCATGGAATCTGTGGACTGTGTCTTCTTCATTTATGTTAAAGATTATATCACAATAAAGGATGTGTTTCTACTGTTTGTCTGCATTTCTTTTTTTTTTCTTTACAGAACTGACAAGTTTTCATAATTTTTTTCTGTTGGTTTGAGTCTGAAGTTGTTTTTTTTTTGTGTTTTTTTTTTAAACAATGTTTTATTAATAAAGGGGGGTAATCATTATCTTCTTTGGACTTACATTACTGGAGTTATAAACCTTGTGCCATTGAAAATTTCAACTCATTTTCATGAATTCATTAATGTTTTATGATAATGTTAAGACAAAAGTCTTCTTTTATTTATTATCGGTAATAATTTTTATAGAAATTCGCATTGTAATGTTCGTCTGCCGTAATTTTCGAAGTCCATCAACACACTATCCAGTAAGAATAACGTCCAACATTTCAGATGCACCCTTTGTTGGCTCCAAAGTCCAAAGTATTAATCGAGTTTTTGTTTTTTTTCCTAATAATAATAAGTTTCATTTAATCTGAATACTTATAAATTAATTGAAAACATTGACCAATCTTTAAAATAGGCAGCAAACTACATCCAGAAGTTGTGAAGATCTGATGTTTGTGTTGTTTTCAAATTGTTCAAACACCGTTTGTATCACATGCTGCAACATCCCTACAATGGCAGCCGTAGACCCCCAGAATGGAAGCCATGTTGACCTTTCTTTTGTTACATTAACATTGTCATAGGACCCAAATATATTATAATATCTTTATATTGCCCAGTACAATCTTTAACTAACACTTGATATCCGTCTACTATTCTTGGAGCATTGTCGTTTTAATCAATGTTCATGTCTGATCTCAATACATCCTAAATGTTGGGACTCAGCTAAAGTAAATGCATTCCAACCAAGTATTTGTCAAGTATTTGTTCAAGTGGATTTAAATTAGGGGAAAACCATGCCATCTCAAATTTTGCAAGCTACGATTTACTATTTCTAATATTGTTTGTACAAATATTAAAACTTTACAAATAGCCTGGTTTTACAAGACGAGAAAATAGATTTGGGTCTCGTGTCATATTAAAAATTTCAACATGGCCGCCACTCCGCGTATTGAACAGGCTGGTCACATCTTAATGACAATTAGTTATAATTGTGAGTTATAGTTTTGAATGGCCAGAGGTCAATTTCAGATAATTTGTAAATATTTTTTTTCCACCAAAATTAATATCTTAAATCGTTTTCACTATGTATATTATTCATGTTCTGCCTTTGAAATTTAGATGACGTCACCACTTGGGTGTCGCCCCATGGTAACAATGCTGACAATGGAGCATGCGAAAGGAAACAACTGTTTATGGAAAAGAAATTTTTTAATTCCCCCCCCCCCCCAATAAAAAAGTTATTAAATTGATTTTTATTTTATACGTCAATGTAATATTAGTTTCATTAATAATTTTGCATATTTTTTTTTTAAAATCCTTCAAATAGTTTGTACAAAAATTCTTGGGTATTGGTACATGTCGTTGGTTTACTGCAAAGTGATTGGTGCCATAAATAAACACATGACATAGGTCAACGCCCATTGGACGAAAGTTATTTGAAAGCGAGACCGAAAATAGTGTATGTAGTGTTTAATTATATTTCCATTCTTTAAAACATTATTATAATACATTTAAAAAAAAAAACCCAAAATAAAAAAGAGAGGGTACCCCCCCCCCCCCCCCCCCGGGTCACGGAGCAACTAAATTTGCAAAAGCGCTTACTACGTCATTAACATGATTTCACTTAACTATAGGGCCTACTCAGAAAATTAATGTAAAGAATGCCTGACCTTACCTTGAATAGGATTAATTGAAACTTTACACAAATCAACAAAGACATACAAATGCGCGACACTCTTTTTAACACCGGACTACAACATCTGCTACTTATTTAGAATTTACTCTGTTTGATTTTGGGAGAAAACTTTATCAGAAGTCTAGCTTAATACATTATCTCTGCATTTTGAAATACTTGTATGTAAATGCGACCACAAATTGCGCAAAGAAAAAAAGTATTTCAACGAAAATCCCCAACTATTTTGCAATAAGCATTACGGTTCATTCAGTTCTTAGCAATTGAAAAGAATCGATTCTCGATTTGTAACTTTTCTAACGTAAGTAATATAAAAAGGCTAACACGATTACTATAAAGTTCCGGAAGCGATTACACGTCCCGGTATGCGTAACGTACCACGTGCAGTTTTATGAATGAAGATTTCTTGCGCAAGGGGGGTAGGCCTACCTCTCCCCCTTTTTTTTATCCTCCCTCTCTCGCTTATCAACACAGGAATACTGCAGTCAGCATGTAGCATAGGACCCGCGTGTCGCAATTCTCTTCTCGCTATGTGTCATACGTTTAGCACTAAAAACCAAACTTAAAATGGTACCAATAATATGGCATAGCTATGATTTAGAGACGCCTGGGTCGGGGTTAAAGATTGTAGCCACCCCCCTCCCCCCCCTCCCCCCCCCCCAAACCCCTTCCACGGGGGAAAAAAAAAAAAAAACTTCTACAGTTGGCTGAAAATGCCACCCCTCCTTTGAAATAGAAAAAAAAAGGTGCCGCCTGGGGTGGACCACCCCACCCACTCCTCACTTACCTTCCTACGCCGCTGACCGTAATTATTTATAACGTAATACAGTGGCGTAACTGTTTTTTTTAAGAGATCACGAGAACAAAACCATTTCCAGTCGTCCTTTAATCAAAAAAATGTGTAAATTTTCGTTTGGTCGTATGACGTGCTCAGCAGTAGATCTATACTTTAAATTATCGGTGTTCTTCCCCTAATGTTATCACACAGCCTCTATCCCAAATCTGGTACAAACGTTTTCCCGTACTTAGGCTCAGTAATATAAGGCCTTCAGTCCCACCGTTCTTTTTGTTGTCAAATTTCTTAACGAGAGAGTCACGTGACCACTTTTACTGCACGAAAATGCTGCACACAAAGTCGCCCCGGGCGGGGAGGGGTTTTTTGTTCTTTATTTGGAGGTGTGGCACTTTCGGTCGGCTGGAGGGGGTTGGGGGTTCGTGCAAGGGGGGTGGCAAAAATCTGTATCCGCTACGGACGTGGACCAACCTTGGCTAATGTTAAAACTTCAAACGATTGCCACGAAGGCTACAAGGAACTCCCATACATGTCATGTGAATGTTCAAAGTGAACGCCCCTGACCGATCACACAACGCCATTGGGGTTAGGGTTGGGTGGGTTTGTTTACCTCCCCTAGAAATCTTGAACGATTTGGTTCACATGCACTTATTTCCTTTCCTAAAACTGGTATAAAAGCCCTGGGTATAATGGACCTGTATATAATGGACCTGTATATAATGCACCTGTAAATAATGGACCTGTATATAGCACATCTCAGTGGCAAATATTTTATGACGTAAAACTGCTACTTTGTTGGGAGAAGTATTGCTCTTAACCGTGGAGTAGTATCGTTCTAAACAAAATTTGAGTATCGTTCTTGAAAATGGTAGTATCGTTTAAAATAGAAAAAAAAAAGGGGGGGGGGAGGATGGCATCGCTCTAAACCAATGATAGTATCGTTCTAATCCAGATATAGTATCGTTCTACTAAACCATGTGGCAGTACCGACTCATGACGTCATGCACGTGAGATCTTACAACCTATTACCCCAATACTCAAGTAACCGCCACTTCCTTTAATGAATTCTCATTGCGCCATATCGTGTGGCGTGGTTACACTTGCACTTACACCCTCACATCATTCATGATTACACTTACACTAACACTTACACCATTGCCTCAGTCATGATATACTTCTACCCTCGCATCAGTCATGATCCACTTACACCTTCACATCAATCATGATACACTTACACCTTCACATCAATCATGATACACTTACACCTTCACATCAATCATGATTACACTTACACCTTCACATCAATCATTGTGAAAACTCATCCACTTTCAAAAAGTCCCTTAAAACCCATCTGTTTAGGTCCGCCTATGACCTGTTATGCACCCTCCTTGCCCTGCCTCATTTTCTGTCTCGGGTTGATCCTGTAGTATAGGCCAAAACGTGCCAAAGTGTACTCGTTTTTATAGCCATTTTAATGTTTAAGCTACTGTTTCCTTAGTCATTTTTAACATAGTTGTTACTATTCTAGTGTCTCTGGTTTTTCATTTTTATTTTACTTTAGCCATTTAAGTAATGTACATGTTGTTAATAATTGTGAAGCGCTTAGAGCTTTAAGGTAAGCGCTATATAAAAATGCCTAAATAAATAAATCAATCAATCATGATTACACTTACACCCTCTCATCAAAATTACAAGTGGCATCGACTTTAGTCCCTGTCCAGGTCTTACATCCGCCTTAAATAGACACTAGATCTAGCCCGCCAAACATTGATGATAGCCATGCGTGAACTTCCCATCTGCTGAAGTTGATTGACAAAACATAAACTCAAATAACGCACATTTAAGAATCTCAATCTTTGCAACCTCCCCCCCCCATAATACATCACTGTTTACTTTTTATTTCACGCCCATGACATATATTAAATATTCTGATGACCCAACCACTTTTAAACCGAATATTTTTTTACACCATACTAAAATTGAGACGATTTCATTTTCGGAAAAGAAAATATTACGCACCAAATGCAGTTGCGTTATATATAAAAAAAAATCATTTAGCGAAGTAATCGGGAAATATTTTTTGCGCGCTGTTGAACAAATTATATTTGTAAAGCTCATATAAGGAAAACAATTGTTAAGGCCCACGGTCCCAAAAACCAAAGTTTTAAGCAATCTGATGAATGGTATAGGAACGTAATGCGGAAATTATTTTAGCCCATAAAAGGGAATAAAAAAAGAATTTCGGGCCCCGGGCAAAAAAGGAATATTGTAAAATGTGTGTAATACTTCAGACACATTTGCAGGCGTGTGTACAACAACTCATTAAAGTTTTATAGCTTTCGGATGAATGGTATAGGAGCACACACAGGACATACATACATGCATACCTTAATTTTTATCTATGTTTAGATATAGTTTACCGAATAAAAGAAACCTTATGAAAGTATT